AGAGCGACACTTTTTTCTGCCAGATTCTTTCGTTTCATGCAAAAACGCGTCGAATGAGCCTAATTTTATCGAAATCGGAGGTGAGGGAGGTATTCTGAATAATTACCTTTAAATGTCACACTGGTTCTACACGGTCTCTTTGAGACGGTGTAGCAAAATCCCACCTCGTGCATAAAATTTGCACTACACCGTAGCCACGGAAACACGGTACACTGAATGAGTTCGCTTACCACCAGCCATGGAAACACGGTACACTGAGTGTTGCACTAGTGGGTGATAGTGCAGCCAAGAGAAAATGCTAATAGAATAAAGTCGAAATGGATTCGATCGGAATTCATTCCAATATGTTTCACGATAAATACTCGGAGCAGTGATGCAATTTCCAGCTTATTTACGGCATTTTATGACATATGGAAAGGATACAGTGGTAAGCGGCGGTCGAGCCGCCGTCGTGACACACACAAAAGCATGAATCCATGTCCGTGTGCGGTCGTATTTCGGCCAACTTCGAGTGGTAGAAGAGAACGGTATCTCCGTCCTTCTCGCTGAGTGCTTATTTCAAGCGACCGAAAATGCATATGATTACAATTTATTAAAAGTTACATGTTATCTGGATTGTTCCTTATCGATACACATCGAGCGGCCAAGATTGTATTGAGCGGCATGAGAAAGTATTTTCCAACCAAACGCCTGAATCGTTTCCTTGATCAGTTTTGCTGTGTGTGATGGTGCATTATCATGAAGCAAAATCACTTTGTGTTGTCTTTTTTGATTTATTCCGGTCGTTTTTCACGCAAATTGAAATTGATCATTTGTTGTCGGTAGCATTCAGTATTAAAGGTTTCGCCAGGTTTTAGCAGCTCATAATAGATCACACCTTTCTGATCCCACCAAACACAGAGCATTCTCTTCCGTCCATAACGATTTGGCCTTGCAGTCGATGTCGATGGTTCACCTGGAGTTACCCATGATCTTTTATGCTTAGGATTCTCAAAATATATCCATTTTTCATCGCCAGTCACAATTCGATGGAGAAATGACTTTCTTTTGTACCTGGCGAGCAGCATTTCGCAAGTGGTTTTTCGGTTTTCCTGCTGTCTTTCATTCAGTTCATGTGAAACCCATTTTCCCATCTTCTGGATCTTTCCCATGGATTTCAAACGTATGGAGACGGCTTCTCGTGTCACATTCAATTGATCCGCGAGTTGTTGTTGAGTTTGAGCGTCATCCTCATCCAACAATGCTTGCAATTCGCTGTCTTCAAACTTTTTCGATGGTTTTCCACGTTCTTCGTTTCTCACGTCAAAATCGCTACTTTGGAATTTTATAAACCACTCACAGCACTGTGATTTACCAAGAGCATGCTCACCGTAAGCTTCGACAAGCATTCGATGCGATTCTGCAGCAGTTTTCTTCAAATGGTAACAGAAAATCAATGCAAATCGTAGTTTCCAGGCACAAAATTCGACATGTTCAACTCTATTACAAACTATACTGTTGTATGAAACTTGTATTGTTGTGAGTTGAAAATCTTTGTCAGATGTCAGAACAAGGAAATGGCGTCAATGACGCGGTCTGACGGCAACTACATTGACAGCTATGGCCATCTATTGGTAAATTCCGGTTTCATATTTACATACCTGGTAATAAGCGCCCAGCGAGAAGAACGCAGATATCGTTCTCTTCTTCCGCCCGAAGTTGGCCGAAGCGCGACCGCACATGGACGGGTTCATGCCTTTGTATTAAAGCTTTATATTACTAAAGTAGCGCATTTCTTTTATCTTGCCGACAGCCTTCCTATTGGCTATTTCATCTTGGAGCTAGTTGTCTGTAGTATTTCATCTTGGAGCTAGTTGTCTGTAGTCCAATAAGCGCTTAGTATTATTGGTACATGGTAAGTATTATTGGTACATATTGGTACATGGTAAGGTTAATAGGTCCAATATGGCGGACTAATGCGCTACTTTAGTAATATAGAGCTTTACTTTGTGTGTCACGACGGCGACTCTACCATGGTGGAAAGATAACATGGTGTGTGCAGTTGGACAGTGTCTCTTTCTAAATCTCTGCCCTCTCTGTCTATGGACTGTTCATAAATTTCAAGGCCTATCAACTATCGCTGTGAAACGCAAAATATGGGGCGGTATTCATAATTCGTTCTTATGCGTTATAATGCAAGAATCGACTATGAATACCGGCCTGTCTTAAACGAGCTAGAAATGGCATCATTGATCCGGAGTGCACTGAAGTAATCCCCTAGCGTTTATACCGAGCGTACTAATTAAATGATTCGATACGGATATGGTTAGGTATTTACTGAGCACTTAATAGTACGCGTACCAAGTGCTGGGTATAATCTAGGCTAATACCCTATTAATGAAAAAGAATTTTTGCTTGCAAAAGATCCGGTAGTAATGATTTTTGAATGTCTTAAAGTTTGGCTTCCTATAATGAAAATCCCAAATCAGCTAATAAGGTTATGTCAAAATGACGTCATTTTTTCGGCCCGTATACGTCGTCAGTTATTTGTCAGTTACATGTTGTAGGACGTTTTCAAGCAGTATTATATAGGGTCTCAGGTAGCAAGCTGATGGCGTTTGTCATTTTGACGTTAAAATGATGACGAATAACATCAGCATTGCTAGCTTATGGGCCTCAACTCAACACAATAATGGCCGTATCTAAATTGTGAAACCTGAGTCGTAGTTGTGGGTCAGTGCACAATCCCACAATATTGTGTCTTGATTTACGACTATAACTAGTGATAGGAATTAAGACGGTTCGAATTAATTCGAATATATCATGAAATATTCGATGAAATATCCGAATAATATGATTTGGAATCATACAATCTTGAATGTCTTGAGAAATCTTGAATGTCTTGAATGTCTTGAAAAGTTTTGAATATCTTGAAAAGTCTTGAAAAGTCTTGAAAAGTCTTGAAAAAAAGTCTTGATAGATCTTGATAGATCTTGAAAGTCTTGATAGGTTTTAAAAACCTTGATATATATATATATATATATAT